TCATCTTTCGAGTCCTCATAAATTCAATAAATTGGCATCGTAGCCATCAATTCTTAATTTGAGTAATGGCGAAACTAAAAGAGACTCTTGTCGCGCGGTTGTTACGTAACTAGACCAACGTTAGAAATTTACAGGGTACTGTTCTATTATGGAAAAAAAGAAAGGTTTTGGGGAAATTTCGATTGATTATTTTGTCTTAGTGTTTATTTTGCATTGGCTAGGAAAAGAATGTGATTAAGAGAAAAAAATGGTGCGATTCGTGACCCTAGTCAGACTGCAGGAATCACCAGGGATTTTCGAAGTGAATGTAATATGCGCATTTATTCTGCATAGTCTGTCTGCTGGTTCACAGTATTTGAACCCTTGAAATACGGTTCGAGATCTTTAAGCGAAATCACTCTAGAAATCTCTCTAGAAAAAAGAGCGCTATGTAAATTGACCGTAAAAACGAAAGCTCGTTTGAAAAGTGTCTTGAAAAGTCTTTTCAGTGGCCTGCACTCGAAAGATTGCTAAGGCAAGACAACTTTCCGAGCTATCTATGCGACGTACCAGTGTTGTAACTAATAAGAAACGTCGGAAAGTATATGTTTGTGTCCAGTAATTGAGCTGTAAGTTCACTGTAAGTTTTGGCAGATTTTCTTTCCTTGGGTCACGTATCCTGTCCTATGTAAACGCATTTATGAACATATTCAGTCAGACAGATTTACTCATCAAGTCAATTAGGCTTGAGGGACTAGGCACCTAAACAATTAGCCTCTCTGAAACCCAGTCAGGTATGGTGAATTGGAACAACCAGACACCCCTTAGCTGGAAAGGTCAACAAGCTGGAAAATTCTTGAATTTTCGCGGTGCTTTTAATGTCCACGTACATTAAAACAGAAAGCAACCCATTTTTCTTGCGCCTAATTTTGATACCACTCAACCATGGAGTCGAAACGTTTCAACAAAGGACAAAAATGGAAAATCATTGGAGATAAAAGGCCCAGATTCTCTCATTTGCACTTGGCCGCACTCTTACTACGCATGCTTAAACTAGCTAGCTTGAAGCTCTGTCGGGTTCGATCACCTGGAACAAACAAACAAGCACGTATGTTAAGATAATTTGGTTTTATCTATAACTGAGTTGATGATGTAAACTGGGCACGTTTGAGAGTTTCAAAGCTGACGTTTCTAGTGTTAACCCTTCGTCAAAGCGAATCGTACTCGGCCGTACTCTTACTAGGCATGCTCAAATTAGCTAGCTTGCAGCTCTCTCAAGTTCGTTCACCTGGAACAAACCAAGACGTATGTTCACATATATTACTTGTTTTTATTTATAACTGAGTCGATAATGTAAATTGGCCACGTTAGAGAGTTTCAAAGCTGACTTTTCAAGTGTTAGCCCTTCTTTAAAGCGAATGGAAGCACGTATCAAAGATTGTGCTATCCTGTTGAAAACTAAGGACTTCCAAATGGATTATCGCATTAAATCACTCTTCGTTTCAATGAAGCCGATATTCCCTGAATGTTGCACGATTGCGGGATAGATTTAGATTGAATTTTAAGCGTTCGCGTGTGCCACAAGAAAAAAAAAGTAATTATAAAACAATAAAAATGATAACAGACTTGATAAGCACGAGAAATATATCATGTTGAATCTTCTTACCCTTATTAGATTTCTGCCTTGTCTCTTACGGCCGTTTGTAAGGATATTTTATCAAATTTCTTTGTACCGCGTGTTGTGCACCATAATGATAAGGAAATTTGGCTTCTACTTTAATTAATTCACATGTGTTCAGCATTATAGATATTCCTGCTTATGACCTCTAAACCCCGAAATCACACATGATACGCTTGGGCCGCCTGTAGTTTACCCCGTTTTGTGCACACGGAAAGCCAAAGATATAATCATAGCGATACAAATCGTTTCCGTCCTTATCTCCCTTATAAGTTTATCCTTAATCTCCTTTCGCCAATTTATTTTTCGACATTTACTATTCGGTAATACCTGTAAGAGACATATAGACTTTAAGTTGCATATCAATTTCAGTCTAAAAATATAAACTTGATTTGTTGCGATTCAGTACGTTCGTGTTTCAAGCTAGTATTTCCATCCCGAGCATACCCTGTTCATCAGACTGTCTCAAATCTAATTCGCATGAGGGCATTCCAATATAGTCTTTAAAAATCCTTTGAAAACTGAATTGATTAACTGAAAACAACTTTTTTAGCCCTTGTTACTATCCTGTACAGCGAAAGTGTGAAGCCTTAATGAGTTGGAACCTCATTTCCTGTAGAGGAAATGATTAAAGCTGCGCCACAACACGTCTGGTGACAGATAGGTACACGTAAGTAACGTAACGCTGACGGAGACGAACGCTCAATTCCATAGGAGATTGTCTCACTATGCTAGGAGATTTTTAGGCCAACAGCAGGTAAGGAATTTCAGATGTGCAGAATGTCATTGATCATTACGCATTGATAGTTATGTATAAGGCATCAGTCGTGTAACGATACTCAGAGTTGTTGAAGCGGTTAAATTTCAAGACAAGCTTCGTCCAAACGTTGCATAACTGATTACACAGCAACCCGCAGGAAGTGTCTTGTAAAAAAAAAAAAGAAGGAAAAAACGAGAGGTTAGGTGATCCCGTAGGTACCTCTATGGTTTGGACCGATTTGAACCATTGACACGGCATTTTACATGCGTTATTAGAGATACAAAGATCGACAATGGGTTGATATATCAGTGCAGCGAGGCAGCCAACAAACAGATACTGCGGAAACGCCTCTCATATGGTTTCATTACTCATTATATTCCTTCTGGATCTATGAGTCAAGTTTGAATGCCAAATTTTGCTTATATGAAGTTTTTGAGGAAAAAAGATGGAAATCATGTCCAGTTTATTTTACGCTTTGAACTCGCTCACGCATTTTTAGGCTCGTACTACTGAGGCTTTGCATTTTTTTTAACCCTCTAAAAAGCCGGGAGACTCAAGCGAACCTGACTAAGATTATGAAACCCTTAAAGAGGCAGAGTATTGTGGTATCCAACTGAGAAAAAATATACATTGTAACAGAGCGCGCGTACAAGTCCTACCTAATTCCTTTAGGAGCTACTACTACGGGTGTTTTTGGTAAAACCCTTCAGGCGGCTGAAATGTCGGCTGACAATGTCTGCGGCTGAGATATTGTTCGCAAAAATGAATATTTGGCCGAGAAGTGAAGCGTCGAGGTTAAATGTGAAATTTTCAGGATAATCTTTCAGCCAAGGACATTATCAGCCGACATACCAGTAAGCCAGAAAGGTTATAAAACATTATCATATTCCCTTGATTTATTTTACTGCCCTTTAATTTTCGTATCGCGCGTTGACAAAATTATGTTTACTTTTTGGACTTTCCACAGCAGCATTTACCACCCTTTTAATGTCACTACCTGTGAACTCAACGGAACGAGTTCGCTTTCCTTCGATGTAGAGCAATAAAGGTGAAAAAGTGAAGCTATCGAGCAGGTTTTAGCTTTGTTTCTTTTCGGCGGAAATAATCAAAAGACAAATAACGACTTAAGGGGGGTTAATGAGTAATAACTGTCCGGTGATTACGTACCACGTGACGGAAAGTAGCTGATATACTCAAACGAAAATTAATCGGTGGGTTATAAATCTCTACATATATATTCGCACGGCCGTGCGCACATAACATGATGTGTTTAGTTTAAATTGGGCTGCAAGTTTCTGTAAAGCTTAGCCGCGAGGTTTCGATCCTTTCAAGATTGTTTCTTATCAACAGTAATTCGAGCGCGGTGAATCTACCACGTGGATCTCTTAAAAATATATATTGTACGTTTATTGAACAGTAAATATTATTTTCAAGTGTTAACATGTCCTGAAAGTATTCTCTTAATTCTTTGAATAAAGATTTGGTCTCTAAATATTTCTATTTTGTCTCCACTACACAACAAATAACACAGTAGTGTACACCAAATAAGTTTATTTAGGGAAGCCTGCCGAGAACCAACCCGAGGCATATATAGCCCGGGGAATGCATACATACATATCTTCGCAACTGATATACCATATACAATCCTGATATACAGTCAATTCCTTACACATTAAAAAAAAAAGGTATACATTACTAACATGCAAACTTCACCAAGTCTGGATTAACAGAGATGGGCAACCGCTTACAAGGACATAACTACGGTTATACAGAGGCCAGAAAAAACCTGCCAGAAAAAACCCCTTTGGGGAAAAAACATGACAGGAAATCTGGGTAGGAACCATGGCCCAAACTCAGAGCAGTTGGCAGCCCATCCTACGAGGCTTCACAGCTAAAGAAAATATGTTTTCAAACTAAAATAAATTTGTCATCAGCCAGAGGTGAACGGTTGGTTCTGAGGCTTAGATGGACATCACGTGCTATACTTTCCCTTATATACCACTGCATCATTACCCATGATGCTCGGGCCTAAGGCCCAGGCCTTGTCGTATCTCGTGCCGACAAAATATCTATTTCTGCCTTATTCGCAGACTCATTCGTTAGAAATACCATTTTCTTTCGCTTTTGCCTTACCTTCAATCACAGTTTTTGGTTAAAAACACGATTACTCGGTAAACCCGACATTATTGTAAAAACAGTCTTTCTTCGTGCACTTGGGACGTTTGGAAAGCACTCCACGAGCTAAATTTGCTCTGGGCGACGCTCTGAACAACTCTTACAATTCTCTTGTGCTCTCCAAACTTCCTAAGGTCATCCATGACTAGCTCCACGCACGCTAAGCGTGAAGAAATTTATTCAGGTTGTTTAGGCTGTCAAGATGGCAGGAACCATTCCTAATTTTGGTATGCCAGCTTAATCTGCATTTACTGAGTCTGTTTACGGGTTTGCTAGTGACGCATTTCTAAATATTGTTGTGGTTCAGAGAAATCTGCTTTTTCATTTTCTCTCTTTGCGTTTTTATTATTTCTCTTCCTATTTTATAGGTTATCGAGGACGAGAGGATAAGATTAAAGCTTGTTGAAGATGCGAATTAAGGAACGATTGTCATGCGCGGTTGGAAATGTATTCAACGACCTATTCCGGCAGCTCGGACAATCATATCAACTATTTTTCCTCATGAAAATTGTTGAACTTTCCCCTTCAGAGGCAGCACTGATTATTCTTATTGGACAAATTGCAGACGCGTCATTCTCACCCATTGCTGGATACCTTGGTGATAGTGCAAACGTACCTTTTCTTTCTAAGAAAATTGGCAGGCGAAAATCTTGGCACTGTTTGGCAACAGTATTCATGGCCATCGGACTTCCCTTTTTCTTCAACCGCTGCTTGTTATGCAGTGTCAGCAATCAAAACTGGCTTCGACTATTCTATTTCTGTTTCATTTTAGCATTGATAAACATCTGTTTCAACGTAGTGGAGATTAATCATTTGGCATTTATCACGACTGTAGCTGCTTCTGTGGAGGAATGCACAGTTCTTAGTGCGATGAGGTATGTTCTCAACGTTACAGTTTGAATCTTAAATCATGTCCATTTGAAGCACACTTTTGTTTTCTCCATCTATGTCCAGTATTTTCATAATCATAATACAATAGGAAAATTATTAGAGGAGTTCTTACCTGCGGTTCTGAAAGTAAAGAATTAAATTTGATTATTGTAAGCAGTATTACATCCTCTTCTTTTTTGACGGATGAAAACGAAATTCAGGTTGAAGATTCTTACCACTAAGATCAAAAAAGTGGTTTACTTGATTGACTGTATAACGAGCCTATGCCTGAAATAAGTGAAAATTTATATGAACATACAATGTAATAAATTGCAACATGCTGCGGGCGCAAATATTACCTTATTCCAAAGGAGATACTATGGCGTAAATCTGTATGTACGCACAGCCGACGGCATTCACTACATGATGTGTGCAGTTTACTTCGGCGCAAGTTCCTGTCGATTTTAGTCGCGAGGTTTCAAAACCTTTTAAATTTTTTTTCCGCCATACGGATTGAGATGGACCATTCGGAGCTCAAAATGAACGTAAACAAGCTAAATACCACTCGAAAACAGCGAGCATGTAGCTCTTTCAAGCGACCAAATTAGTTTTGGAGTTAACGATATTTCATTCCCAAAGGTGTTTTTCAAGAGAAGGTTTTGTTCTAAAGTCGAACATTTTGCAGAATTTCAACACAGAGCTACGCAATTTTCTGGTCATAGGTCCTAGTAAACAACAATTCAATTATGGTAAACCTAACACGAGGGTCTCGTAAATGCAAGACATTTTTACGTTTTCGCTTCGTTTTTCGAACGGTAAATATCATTTTCAAGTGTTGATATGCCCTTAAAGTATTATTACTGACTAAATTTAAAATAAATACTAAATACTTAAAATGTCAAATTTCAGAATTTTCACAATCTGCAACACAATTTTATGTGCATTTCTGTCCATGAATTGTAGTACACAACGATTCTAGGTCTCATACTTACAAAAAAAAATTAGTTGCCTTCGGTTCAATTCTTTGATTATAGCTTAGCTCTCACAATATTTCTTGGTCGTTTTTGCCTAGTCAGTTATTGCTAGTTTCCGAGTAAAACCCGACACAGGGTCTACCAGGGTTTACTTTTTTCCGTGCCCAAATTGTGTCTGTATACTATGTTACAAAAGAATTGGTTTACGCTTTTAACTGAGCGTATATCGAGTTACAAATGCACTCGTGAAGTTTGGAGAGCACTCAAGAGGCTGCGTCACGAACAACTCTTACGCTTCTCTAAAGCTCTCGAATGCGCGCTAAGCATGAACCAACTCATTAATGTATGTACGCGCCATGATGATATTCATATAATCTTAAATGAAGTTCTTCTGCTTCCTTTTTCTGTCACCTTTAGGACTGTGTTCAGCTTCCTAAGTGGTGTCTTTATTTATGCAACCGCCTGGGGTCTTCTCGGTCTTGATAGTGGCGATGCTTCGGGACCTAACAGCCCTCCATATCTTACGGTTAGAAGCTTTCCCCCTAATCGTTTTAGAAGTAATATACTCCAGTGAAGAAACCTTGCTCTAAGCGAAGATAAATACACTTGTCAAACAGCTGAAGGTAAAGTCACTTTATGACCTATCAGAATCCAGGATTTTGCGGTAAAAAGCAGCTCTCGAGATACTAGTTTAAATGAAATTTCGCGTAGAAGTAAAATCGTTGCTTCTAGGAATCGCTATCTTCCTCTGCTGAACTAAAACTACATAATGTGCCAAGAGATACGCAGTCAGGGTTATCTTCCCATTACTTTGCTAGGACTTCCTTTTCTCTCATGGATAGCGACTGGAACAGGAGTCTTCTTTGCAATCATCTTTCTCATTGGTGCAAAGGAACCTCAAAAACTGAACGAAGTGGAGAAGCAACCAACATGTGTTGGTAATATTGAAGATCATGTTGCAATGAGTGACGAAGATGGCAAGAATGATGAAAACAGATACCATGCTACAAAAGAACCTCAAAGACGTTTACGCACAAATAGCACATATTCAAGTATTATGGTAAGTCAAGATCAAGATCCTTGTGGGAAAGCCCCGAAATGATAGTTGTATCCGATCAAATATTTTGGTATTAGCAGCTCCTTCATCTCATTTTGAACAATACTCGTATTACTCGAAATGAATTAAAACCTGAAGGACTTATTACGTACCCCGCACTCTTGTAGCGGACATTTTCAAGGCAGGTATTATGATTGCAGAATCTTTAGGGGATTCTGCAAATGTCACAAGTTCTATTCGTTGCTCGAGTTGTGAAGTGGAAAAACTCAGTCAGTTACCCTTCTTTTTCATTGCAGAACGCTTCTGGAATGATATTGACACCGTTTGAAAGTAAAAATACAGGCAAGTTTATATAAAATGTACCCTTTTAAACTAATCGCTTTTACCTTTAGGAACCGGCCGGTTCCACAACTTACACATCTTACTATAATAATACACACTTTAATTTGGATAACCATCGGTGAAAAATAATGTCACTTCCGTCAACAGTGTAAAAGTATTGCTGATGCCATATATATTGCTGAAAATGTACAAGCTGAGCTTTAAACAAAAGTATATAAACTAATTTTGTTCATTTCTTCAATTGGAAAGACTCTTCTAGGGACAGTCTCGCCCATAGATTTGTGGGTATGACTATGGCTTCGTCTCAATTTGAAACCTACCACTATGACCTCAACGGAAGTGAAGATATCCGATGCCATGAGCAGCGTGAAAGAAAGAAAAATTTATTGCAGAAGTTTATTCCTGCTATATTGAATGACGAAGAAAATGATTCGGGACACAGTCAATCAAAAGTTGACGCTGAAGGCGCAGATAACAATCAAGAAAGTGAGAACACGAAAAAAGGGATATGTTCAGAGGCGGAGCATTTAGATCGTGAGCGCAAGAAAAGTCTCCTGTTGCGGGTTTATGACGGAATCTTATCTAGAATGCAACACCCAGAGGAAAGGCAAACAACATGTACTGGCAGCATTGGACATCAAGCAGCAGAGGGCAATAAATATGACGGGTATATAACTGGAGCAAAGTACTGTAGAAAAGAAGAGGTGGGAACCATTCCTGAAGAAAAACACAGGAAAACCTCCCACAGCATGGATTCGAGCAAAAAAGGGAAGAAGATAGGAAATGATGATGAGAAAGTAATCAATGACATCTTTGAAACGGCAATTTCGTTCGACCACGGGCAAAGTGAATATGGCCACCCTACTATTCCGGATGAAGATGATCGTGGGCTGCCTAACTTTGGATCTACCTATGATACTAGCGAAGATGAGGTCAAAGGAAAGTTTTCCAATACTTCAATTAGGAAGCCGAAAAAGGCCGTGACTTTCAGTGCGCCTCTATTACTAGAAATTCCGTCAATACGCGAGGACCAGCCAAAGGAATTCGATTTTTATGACTGGGCTGGAGAAGCAACGCTCCTGAATGAAAGTGCTCGTAATTATCTGAGACAGAGTTGCAAAAACAACGATACTATAGTATCCTACGAGAGAAGCAAAAATTACTCATCTTCAGAAGCCAATCCTGATCTACATGGTCCTCATGTTTCATCAGAAAATTTTCGGTCTGAGCGGAAACACCCGAAAAGAATCAAAGATTGGCTGAGAGATCCGAACTTGTATAAGGTAAAACAAAATAAGCCTCTTAATTGTCTTGTTTGTTTGCTCCTAAAGTTCTTCATCTTTTTTTCTGGTGTGATTTTTTTTTTCAGGTAGCTATTATTTTTACATGTACACGCCTTGCACAAGACACTGTGTACAGTTATTTACCGCTATTCCTCTCAGAAAGGCTAAAATCTGCAAAGGTATGATATTGAAGTCCCTTCACTTTACAATATGCAATGTTCACTTGCTTACAAAATGAATGGGTGTGATTTCACTGTGTTTTTTCCCTCTTATCAGGAAGCTATTGCCTATATCCCACTTATTCTCCTTGTCAGTGGCTCCTTGTCAAGTTTGATAAGTAACAGACTTTGTAGGAAGATTGGAAGTAAGGTATGGGCATTAGATGAGTCTCATAATGAACAGTTATTTTCTATCAAGGGGATTGTGTGACCCTAAGCCTATTTCCAAATTGATGTCCAAACTGCTTGTTACCATAAATCCATTGGTCATTGCTTATTGGTACCCTTGCCAAGTAATAAATCAGTGAATTTTCGTTTTCTTAAGTACAGAGAAAAGTGACGTTTCCCAAAATAAGCCCTACTTAATTGTGTGAGTCTACTAAATTTCAATTTTTTAATTGGTCGCGAAAATAAGTGGAGCTTTTTACTGGCGGCTTTCCTTGCAATGGGTGGTGCCGTTTGGAGCTATTTTCTGACCGTCTCCACCAATCAGTCAACCTATGCGCCTGTAGTAATGATAGGAAGCGGTCTGTCAGTTATGTACGTCATGGCACTTGTCTTCATCACAGAACTGATTGGAGAAAATAAGGTTGGTGTTACCATCGTTAAACTAAATTAATGGTTTTTTGGGAACAGTTGATATGAGAACCCCTAAAACAATTTCCTCGTAACAAGCTCTCCCATCGACCGCATAATGAGTAATCACTAGCGGTGTTGGAACTAATTTTAGAAATCATTGGTAACATAATGAAGTCAACGAGAAAAAAAAAATTAGACATAGTCTGCTACCAGGTAGTCCGAACTAAGGAGTGTGTAGCAGTATCGCAGCCTAAGCAACATGAAGCGACTATAATTATTGCTTATTCCCCTAGAAAATTACCCTAAGTATTTCGCCAGTTCTCCCTGACAGTTTCTTACACTTCTGAGTTGAGGGAGGCATCGGGAAATGTTATTTCCTGTGCAGGAATGTACATTATAAATACTACCACTAGCCAGCGTTTGAACCTGAATGATCAGACCCGAAGTCCGCCGCCTTTAGCTCTACACTATCGTATATAATTTCGGTCGATAAATTGTCAATTTCAGGAAACCAGTGGATCAGTGTTTGCCATTGTAACTGTGATCGCTAGAATTTCAAGCGGTGGACTTATCATTTGTATACAGGAATTTTACCCAGAAGAAAGGTCAGTCAGCCACGTATGATCGACAGGTCACGTTACAAGAAAATAGACTTGTACTAATATGGACAATATACGAAATTCTAAGGTTACAAAAGCTCTAACTAAACATCAGACTTTTCTTTTGGCTCACTTTGCAGAGGGAAATGCCTGCTATGTTCTTGGTCGAATCCACTTTTTTGCACCATATGAAAATATCGTACACGCATAAAACTTTTTTAATTTACTACATCTATTTTGAAATAGCTGGTGACCCTTGCAATCTGATGGGTTCCCATCGGTGCGTTTTATTGACAAATCGCACCATTTTATGCTCTAGCTCGCGCTCATTTGATTTTTAAACCATGCGTATGATTTCAGGCCTAATAATACACATGCAAAAATTTCAGCATGCTCATTGGCTGAGAACACGTAAATTAATCTCAAGCATTGCAGAAAATTGAAATTGAGAGCAAAAAGTTGAAATTAAATTTACTGACAGCTAAATCACGAAAGCACAACAAAACAAACAGGAGGACAGGTGAGGAGAAAGTAACATTTTCTCAGAGTTTGAGAGAGAATGCAAAAAAATAAAATTCTCGAGGAGTTTTTCGTAACAATTCGACCGATACCTAACAGAGAAAGAATACAAACGCTCAATTATTCGCGAGAGAGGTTTAAAATTCGAAGCAAATTCTAGAGCAACAAGCCCCAACTCTCCGCAACAAAGAAAATATAAAGGCAAGGAGCCGCACTGGTGAGCCACAACCACAACCACAAATAAAGACAACTGAAATGGAAAACAGAGTCATTTTTGCTTGTATAACCAGTTATTTTAAATTCTTTGAAATTTTTTTCAAAATTTAGTTATAGCCTTTGAAAAATTTATTCGTGCTGATCCATCCCAAATTGCACTCGAAATCATGCGATTACCTATACAAATTGCACTCCACTCGTTCAATTACCATTATTAATCACTTATGTAATGTTCTGATTGGCTAAAAATTCTCCTCTCGATTCAAACCAGCGCAAATTTTCTCGGTCGATGAAAATACCGTAGCGACATCAAACTTTTAATCATCTTCGAAAGCCTATAATGTTCTGATTTGCTTAATTTCCCTCTCTCGTTTCAAACCAGCTCAAATATGGCGGTTGGCAACTACGTGCAATATGTGTTTGCGATGACGCCTGGGACGTTAACTTTGGTCGGATCCATGTTGGTTTTGCTTTTTCAACCATCAGAAGTTTCCTTCAAAAATAAAGGTAAAAACACAAATGTTTTGCTGTAGTTTGCTTCTTGGGCTAAAATATCATCGTTTAGAAGAACTGCATGACACTCCCATATCTTTAAGAAATCGGTCTTAGCCTTTTCAGGACGTGCAGACAATATCTTACTTTGAAATGAAAGGGGCTATGCAATTTCATATTGTAATGTTTTAAGTTACTCCTCTGGTAATTTAAGAGGTTGTTGTGTGTTGAATGATATCCTTCACAGTGTTTCATAAAGAGGACATGATGTTCTATTACAGCCTCATGTGTTTGTATCATTTCCGATGCATAAGCTTACCTTCTGCCATTTCACCTATTAAGGCTCACAGAGTATCGAGGATCAAGCTGACCAATCATCGTGTGACGGCCAAGTTCCTCAGTGTACGTGTAAAATTGAGACAACGCCAAATGTCTGCTTGGATGAAAATCAAAATTCTTCCAGCGCTTCGGTGCTTTCTTTTTCTGAAGACACAAAACTTTAATTCCTTCCGCTAGTTTATTATGTGTCGGCGATGTTTAACCGACCATTCAAAAGCTCGTTACAAAGTTTGTTCAAGGACAACATTTCTATCAAAATAAGTATTTGTGACTGATCTTTCTCGGTGTTGGGAAGAAGGGGTTAATAAAATTATATATCACAAACCTATTATAATCAAAAAATAATTTTATAATCTCTGAATGACGTGGAAATGGTATTCTAAGTTCATACCATTCAACTCATTGTTAGCTGTTATCAATTTTTATTAACTCATACCTCCTCTAGATCTGTACGTGAAATAGGTAGGGAACATTTGATCAGATTCTTTTTGAATGGCCATTCCAGTAAAAATGCGTTGTCTTAAATGTTTCCTGAATGTAACAAATAATTTGAATGCACGATGCACTCACTTTTACTCAGTTTTTTTTTTCTGAACCGGAAGTTCCTGGAAATCAGTAGCTTTTAGAGGATTATTAATGGTTACTACTTTTTTAAGTCACTTAAAGTTTTTTAGTAATCTAAAGTCAGATTTTAATCCTTTCATGTCGATTTCGGTGAAGAGTAACGCCGAATATTCTAGATGCTTTTACGCGCGCACAATTACTGTTTTTTTGAATTCGTGATGGGTTCATGCGTCCCGTGTGCAAGTAGCGCGATTCTAAATTGCAAAGGGCAGAATCTTGAGCCTTCCTCACGATCTTCAGCTATGATCTGTGTTTTGTTATTGGGTAAGAGTCTTTGAGCAGTATTTTCTTAAACTGTACAAAGAATATTAACAATTGTTTTTATTCTCATACTGCTGCTTTGCTAGGTCCCAAAATAGTTGTATATTAAATTGTATGGTGCTTACAGTTAAGAGAGATCTACAAGACTAACATTGCAAAGATAATGATGTCTATCAGTTATATAAACCCTGATCGCCGTGATTGACGTCAGTAAGACAACAGAGGTGGATAATCATCACAAGGTTTACGATTGCATTTCGTCTACCGTAATTGTAGATTCGAACAGTTATTTTGAACTTATGTTATATTTAACCATCCATGGTCCTTATCAGTAACAATTATACAACTTGCAGCTTAGATGGACGTTTGCATTTGAACCACTCGCTTTCCATGTATTCCTCCGGATATTAAAAAAGCGATAACTCTTGATTCTAATGAAGCCACTTTCTTAACTTTTTGTTTTTCAAGTAAGGCACGCTAGAGTAATTTCCATACACTTATAATTGATAAAATGCCAATGTCTGAAGGGCACAATCAATGAGGGTCATGGGATTTGTCTCATTAGCAACAATATTCTCAAGGCACTTTACAAAACCGATTTATAATCAGCGTTCTTAAAAAAGAGGCAAACTGTAACAAGATAATTTTGGTTTTATCAACTGAGTTATCCGGAGTTCACATGTATGATTTTCATGTATTTACAGTCAATTGGGTCGAATAATGTAAATTGGCCACCATAAAGAGTTTCAAAGCGAAGGGCTCTGACAAAGGGCTAACGCTCGAAACGTCAGCTTTGAAACTCTTTACGGTGGCCAATTTACGTTATCAACTCAGTCGATAAAACAAAGCAGAATTCAAGTTCTAAATGAGTTCTATATTGCTGATAGTTTAATTTAGAATCGCTTTCTGTGTTCTTGGTAGAGAGCTGAACTATAAGCTAGCATGTCATGGGATTGGGGTAAAGAACGCGAAAGTTCTAGATGTATTTTACACACGTTATAACCATCAGTTATGCAAATAACAATATTTGTTTGGGTAATTAACCGCCCATCTTTAGAGAGTTGATACCTTTCCAACATCCAATTCAGATCTAGTCATGCGGCAATTCACGGTTAATAACTCCGTCTTTACTGAATGAGTGGGCATTACCTTGAATGTAAAAGTCACAAAATTAATTTGGAAGCATTTTATGCTTGAATTTCACGCTTTTCAGCATCGAACTGAAAGCATCGTGTTCCTATGAAGTTTTTCAGAAATTCTCCACCCAGAAGGAATCACTGAAACGAGGATCAGTACGTTGATTTTATTCTATTGAGTATCTAGGAATGGTTCTATTGTCTCTATCTAGGGATAGTTCCATTGTCTCCAAAAGACACATTTTGACACGCATTGTTTTGTATGATTCTATGGGCAGAGTAAGATTTTGGCGGGCCGAGATAGCATCCATCGCCGTCTTTCATTTCTTCTACCAAGGGCTCTTTGGAAGCCATTTTGTAAGCTATATCTCTTTAACCATTCCGCTGTATTTAATTTTACGGTCGGGGTCAGTTTGATGATACGGAATGGATTGAGCTCGGCCGCAAGATTCTTCCTGCGTTATTTTTTAAGATGCGCGTTTGGGTAAGGTTATCGTGTGCAGTTGGAAATGTATTCAACGACTTCTACCGACAGCTCCTCCAGTCATTTGAGCTTTTATTCTTCATGAAAGTTGTTGAACTTTCAGCCTCAGAAGCAGGACTGATTATACTTATTGGAGAAATTGCAGACGCATTATTCTCTCCAATTACTGGGTATCTTGGTGATCTAGTAAACTTACCGTTTCTTTCAAAGAGGATTGGCAGGCGAAAATCTTGGCATCTTTTGGCAACAGTCTTCATGGCCGTCGCACTTCCTCTTTTGTTCAATCGGTGCTTTCTTTGTGCTGGCAACCATCAAAGCTGGCTTCCCCTCTTTTACTTTGGATTCTTCTCGGCGTTGGTAAACATATGTTTCAACATGGTAGAGATAAATCACATGGCTTTCATCACAGCTGTTGCCGAGTCTGTAGAAGAGTTCACAATTCTTGGCGCACTTAGGTCTGTTCTGAATAATTTGTTTGAGTTTGTATAATTTACGTCGTATTTGAAATATCTTACTTTGCAATGCATGCCTGTCTGTCTCATCCGTGTACAGAAGCTAACACGAATATGTCGTTGAGTTTTCCTCACCGTTGTGTAAAAAATGCCAAATTTACTGAAGTATTACGACTGGTGGATGTTTAGGAATCAAGTTTGATTATTTTTGCCCCACAATATCATGAAATAAGCTGATAATGATAAAGCAATTCAGTTCAATGACTAAGCCACTTAAATGAGAAGTTTTTATTGATTAGTTTATTTACTATCGGAAAGTTTCTCAGGCGTATTGTAATAAATGGTGGTGGGGTGTTATAATGAATGTCAATTTGATGTCTTGTGTTCCGCAATGATGTTGCTCGTGATATCTGACAATAATATTTTCCTGTCTCGTAATCGGGTCATTAAGGACTGTATTTCGCTTCCTGAGTGGTATTTACATATACGCCATCGCCTGGAGCCTTCTGGGACAAGACAATGCAGCTGCTCTTGGACCTGACAGCCTGTCAGATTTTGCGGTTAGTAGCAGCTCTCAATAATTTATTTTGAAAAAAGCTTCGCCTGAAAGGGAATCCAAAACTTCAGGAAATGCCTTCTTTTCCTTTGCCTCACTCAAATGAAATCGTTGGTTTCAAAATGGCGAGAGAAAGAAAAGTGAAGTAGTGTCTCCATTTTTTCTTCTGAAATTTCCCCTACAATTGTAATTTTCCTCTCTTTGAATTTGCAGTATCTCTCGTGGATTGCTACTGGAACTGGAGTCCTCTTTGTAACCGTCTTTCTCATTGGCAGCACAAAGGAGCATCAGAAACGTTTGAGAAGAAGGAGCAGATTATCGGGTATTTTGGTAGGTCAAAACCTGAATGGAAAAACCTTTTGATAAATTCAAAGTCATTGATCAATGCAATCAAACATTTTGGTGGATCTCTGTTTGAATCATGCATATCTTACCGTAAATGACTTCTACTTTATTGGTAAATACTTTTTATTTCATATCCTGGTTTTGGAACCCTCGTATTTGGGTAACTAGATTGTTGCAGGCAGTGCATATAAAGGCATTTTGAAAAATGCTGTATGTACTATTTGACTAGATGGTTGTGGAATAGACGAACTCAAACTGACATTTTCCTTCATTGTAGAACACTCCTGGGATATTTGTAACAACACCTTTGGGAAGTGAGAACGCAGGCAAGTCTTTGCTCGTCATATAAAATAACGTCAGTCTCGTTCGAGAAGTCAGCTTCAAATCTAGCTCCTTGCAACATGTTGCTGTTTATAAATGATTGTGTCTTTTTTCTAATGTTTAAGGTTTTCTCCAAGACAGCCTTGCTCATAGATTTGTGGACATGATCATGGCATCGTCTCAGTTGGAAAATTATAAGCAAGAGATGAACGATTGGGAAGAAAGCCAAAGTCGAGAGCTGCATAATAGAAAAAAAAGTGTATTGCAGAAGTTTGTCGCTGCTATATTTTCTGAAGGGGATAACTACATTGTTCATGCTCGATATAAACCCGTCTTCGAGGAAGAAACGAAGGACCCAGAAAGAGAGGATACAAAAAAACGTATGGTCTTAGAAGTACAACAATTAAATCGTGATCGTAAGAAAAGTTTGATGATGCGGGTTTTCGACGGACTTCTGTCAAGACTAGGACATGAGGAGGAGGAGCAACCTAAACTCACTGTCGGCATTGAACACCAAGTTTCAGCAGACAATGAGCATGAAAGGTATCTAGCCGATAAAGAGTACTGCAGACATGAAGAGAACGAAACCTTTCGTGAAGAGGATACATGGAAAATGCTCAACAACAATAAAGCTGTCGACGAAGAGGCGGGAGATGGTGTAGAAGAAAAGTTCCCGGGCACCCTAGAAACATCCATTTTGTCCAAACGTAAGCAAAGAAAACATGCTATCGTGATGACTTCAGTTAGTGGTCGTAATAGCGTATTAAACTTGGGATCTGAATATGATACAAGTAATGATTCGGAAAAAGAAAACTTTATTCGCACTACCGTTAAAAACCAGAAGAAGTCTGTGACTTTTTATGAGCCAGGACTTTCCGATATTCCTTCAATGGATGAGGGGACACAGAAGAAATTAAGTCTTGAGGACTTGCCTAAAGACGGAACGATCCTCAGTGAAAGTGCTCAGAGCTATTTGGCACAAGATTGCGCCGAAGATAACACAAGAGAATCGGCAGTTTTAGATGATAATCCTGCTCCACATAGTTTTCCTGTTCTTTCGGAAATTCTTCCAACTGAGAGAAAACGTCCAAAAAGAATCAAAGATTGGCTGAGAGATCCAAACCTGTATAGGGTAAGACCAAACACATTGCTATCTAGTTTATTTCCACGTTGAAGACTTTTAATTTTAACTTTCTCCTTTTCTGTGCCTTGTGTCCTTCTCAGGTAGCCATTATATTCACAAGTTCACGCCTTGCGCAGAACGCTGTATACAATTACTTACCGTTGTTCCTTACAGAGAGGCTGCTATTTGCAAAGGTATAATAGTCGAATCTTCTCTTATCCCTTCACTTCATTTTATAGTTTGCAGTGTTTACTTGTTTTTATGTTCACCGCTTTTTTTTTGTCTAATACAAGGAAGCCATCGCCTATTTCCCACTTATTCTCCTGATCAGCGCCACTTTCTCAAGTTTATTCTGCAACAGCCTGAACAGGAAGATTGGAAGTAAGGTATGATGGTAAGATTTATCCCATTATTAACTGATACTTTTTACCTTAGCATTCACAAGTTTGACTTATTTTTTATTTTTTGTAAATTGAAGTAAATTGTTTTTAGTGCATTGGTGCGCTCATTCATCTCTCTAGGGTCAGTTCCTGATCTGCACGTTTTAACATCGCGAGAAAAATGAAATTCATGTAACATAAGCTTCAATAAGGTTGAATGCATATATAAATTCATCTAAGCGTCATTTCTACTTTGGTTTCGACATTTAGTGGAGTTATCTTTTGGCGGGTTCCCTGGTGATGGGCTGTTCTGTTTGGAGCTATTTTCAGACTGTCTCCACCAAGCAATCGGCTTATGCAGTGATGGTTACAATGGGAAGTGGTCTTTCCGTTATGGACGTCATGGCACTTGTCTTCATTACAGAGGTGATTGGAGAAAATAAGGTTAGTGTTGTTAAACGAATTTCTTTCTTTTTGGAAACAATAAAATTAAATCATCTCAAAAAGGTTCTTTTTCTGACAAGCCATTCATTAAATTGCCCAAAATTTGAAATTACTACAAACAAACATCGGTATCTAAAGAAATTTTAGGGTTGAAAAAAGGTGAGAGCTGCACTCTAACCAATGACCCGGACTACTTAGCCCTCTCGTAGTAGTAAATACTAACATGGTGATCCCTGGTCGATAGTCCTTGAACAAAATGTCTGGTTTCAATGACACGACGCTGGATCCATTGGTGTAGAGAGACACTGTGCGGATAAAGTCTCCTGTCCAATAACGCAACAAACTGACCTGGCAAGGGGTCAAAGTCGTCCACGGAGTCCCTAGCGTAAAATGTTACATCACTGCCTCTCAACGAGGTCAATAAATCATTAGGATCCTTATCTTCTAGGAAACCAGTGGATCAGTTTTTGCCATTATAACTCTGATTGCGAGACTTTCAGGCGGTACATTTATCATTGGCATACAGGAATTTTACCCAAGAGAAAGGTTGGTACGCCATTATCAAGTCGTCATACAAAGAATTTAAATACCGTATATTCCTTTAAAAGTTGCGATGGGTAGTTGGCGAACCTACCGAATTGACAAGAATCCTAAATTTCTACCGTAGAAATGATTTTCTAGCTCTTTTGTGTTTTTATGCGCAATTTCACAAATATAATTACAGCTCTAAACTTTTAGTTATCCTTAATTTTTTATCAACGCACTTTAATTCTCTCAATTCAGAATCAGCTCAAATGAGGCGGTTGGCAACTACGTGCGACATGTGTTTGCACTGGCGCCTGGAATATTGACTCTCATTGGATTCCTACTGGTTTTGCTTTTCCAACCGTCAAGAACTCACAGCAAAAGTAAAGGTAACATCGTCAATGTGTACTGGGATACTTTATTCTAGGCTAGCACTATAATAGAGAGAATAAGTGCGTACCGCGCTTCGTTTAAGTAAAAAATAGTCTTAATCATTTCTGCGCCTTTAAAATATTATCCTATCATGTAAAATATGACCATGAAAATAAACAATGTTTTTTTCTTTAATGAAGCAGAGTGTACGTTAGGAGTGTTTTAGAGTACGTCCATCGTATTCCCTAACAGCCACACGACGTTGCAAGTTTTCTGATCCATAACGTCCTTATGCCAAATCTCCTATGTAGGCTTCCAGGATGCCGAGGCTCAAGCTGACCAATCATCGTTGGATATTCAAGTTCCTCAGCTTCCAAGTCAAAGTGAAGCAATTCCAGACGTCCGCCATGATGAAAATCAAATATCTTTCATCGCTACTGTGCATTCTTATCCCGAAGACACAAAACTGTAATTTCTTTCGTTCTATCGCGTATTCATAGGTGTTTTCTTATTTGAACTATGCAAAGTTTGTTAGAGACAAAACTGTTACCAATACCCTTTCAATTGAGAACGTATTTGTAACTTATCTTGGTGGTCCCACTAAGGATTGACGTGACTGACGTGTACTATGACTTTAATTAACATGATTCATTAAATCGGTGTGACATGATGATGATCGGTTACCACAACCTTAAAAGAGGAAGATAAAATTCACACCAATGACACAATTGAACCACATCAAAAAGAAAGCCAAATTTTACGTACGTAGTTATGTATATACGTTGGTCACTTAATTCTCACATATTAATGTGTGTGCCTTTTTAAGTCCGTAAATATTTACAATTCTGATCCTATGTGATGAGCGCTAACGTTATCGTAAATAACATAGAAATACGGATGCATTGCAGAATCAATCTGCACTGCACAGAGTGGAGTTATTTCCTTTGTGGGTGAGCAAAAGTGTTAAAGTTTCAAATAAAGTTATGAACTGTATCCCGTTTCTAAACTGCCACTTTGTCAAATGTTTATTTTAGGCACAAGCATTTATAGCGAGCACTTTTTACAACCTGAAATGTTTTGGGTCTATAATGGCGGTTGGTTAGCGCTCTACAGGTAACACCAGTCCAGTCTCTTCACTTAAAAAAAAAAAAACTTAAAAGATTGTAAACTCCATGAAAATGGTTGTTAAAAGTTGCAACTAATTGTTAATTCAATGCAATCGCGTTCATGAATTGGTTGATCTTCTTCTTACTTTATAAGTATCATTTGGGTGAATGAAGATAGACCTACAACGAATGATTGTCTAAAGGAGCTTGTCTTTGTGAGATAATGCTGTTGAATGTCATTTCAAATGCAAAGTCGTCATTGAATGAATCTTACGTGCGGTTTATCTTCTCCTAAATGACTGAAACTACTGATTCCACTCAATGAAACAAATGTTGACACTAATGAATGAATATTTCTTGTAAATGTAATGGAGTCTGATGTCATTCAAAACCGATTGTAGTGAAAGCCACAAAAGCAACTTATGGTTCATATGTTTTGTTACTAGGAGACCAAATTTTTGATCCCCGCTGCTCAGTGAGTTCGTGGGTAGGTCCGGAAGCATGTCATATAAACCCACAAAGTCCGCTTGAATGAATTTACAATATGACCTCATATAGTGACAGGAAATACATAAATTGGCCAAATATAAGGATGTCCAAATCGCTCTGAAGGGGTGTTAGTAATTGCGCAGAAGCTAAGTTTTTCCGTTCAATACGTTGAGGAAAAAGGTATAAAACCCCTCCAATTTGGTGCTTGTGAAAGAATTGACGAAACCATTTACCATGAAGATGCAAATTGTTTCACGAGGTCCTCGAGAATTACTTCGATGCTATTCTGAGATATGATACAGTGGTGTTAATCACTCGTCAGTGTTCTGAAGAAGTGCACCATAATGGATGATCGATGGAGGATAGAGGCCATTAAACGTGATTAGGGCGAAAGTAATAGAATCTGAATTTGGATATGTTGGAAAATATTTTGACACACCAAAAAAAATTTTACGGATACGTTTTTAAATCATGTTCATATGTAACAGACGCCGCGTGGGAAATTCTCAATGACATGTCACTGCTCGTTTCTTTCTTCAGTGAGAACTCCCGTTCAGTGCTCAGAGGATGGTTTTTAAAAGATCCCGACTTCCATTCAAAGTTGGTGTGACATGACGCATGTCCACTGGTCAACTAGCAGAGTAAAGTAATCAATGAACAAAGCACACAAATTTCTAAGCAGACTTAGAGGCTAATCAGAGCATATGATAAATCTCAAATTAAACATAGTTCAACAATACATTTCAAAAACTTTATCAACCCTTCTGCACAACACCATGGTCCCCAATTGCGGAAATTTTAATTAATTTGATTGCAAGTTGTAATGCTTTATTTTTCTTCTTTTCCCATATTCCAAGAAATAATCACGAAACTCAAATCCGATAAATGCAAGTCAAATCTATACATCTGAATGTATAAAATGTACGTAAAAGTTTTATTTATGAGATTTTTGGCAAGGATAGAAATAAACTGAAGGAATTACGGTACGGAAATTGTGATTATTTGGGGGTGTTTAATTACCAACTAAATAAACCTTTCGCTTCAATTCTCAACCGCCCTTCTTGCCTTGTTCAGTTGAAGTCGTACAGCGGTAATCCAAGGTTATATTTAAACTTGATGGTGATCAAACTAATAACAACTGCAAGTCTTGAATTGTTTGTCGGTGATAAATGAATGTCGCACTAGTTGGAATAGAGCAGTTTCATTTTCTATTTGAATATCTTTTCAACATGATTCGCATATATATTCTTAACGACTGTGACCAAATCCAAAAGTTTGTTTGGAGCATTAGTTTTGCAAATAAATATTAGTTTCAGATGATTCTGTTTTTACTAGCGTTCTTGTATTAATGTCTCCCCAGCGTAAAATTACGCTTCAACTGCTATGCTCTGGATGCGTAGTCAGTTAATTTGAAAGAAATTTCGGTTTCGGGAAAGGTTTCGTTGTCATGATAACTACCCACCTGTCGAGACACCAAAACCATACTACAGGCATCCACATCTCTTCACATAGCAAGACAAACCACGTTAATTCAGCGAAATAATAAACTCTGTCCACATCACCTCACATGGAAAGACACATCACATTCATTCAGGAAAAAGATAAATGCTGTCCACACCGTTTCACATAGCAAGACACACCACATTTATTCAGCAAAATAATAAATACTGTGCACATCGTTTCACTTAGCAAGACACACAACATTAACTCAGCGAAACAGTAAATGCTGTCCACATCGCTTCACTTAGCAAGACACCACATTAATTCAGCAAAATGACAAAAAATGTTCACATTACTTCACATAGCATGACATACACATAAATTCTGCAAAACAATACAGGAAATGCGTAAATTCAGGAAAACAATAGGTCCGTTGTTAAAACACTTGCCATATTACCTCACGTAACTAACAGAAAATCCATAAATATAGGGAAACGATGGTTCCACTTCTGAGCCCGCATTTTCTCGCATATCTACCTGCGGATATAAGTATTCGTACGAATGTAATATCTGTCACTGCGATGCGTTGAGGGTTAGTAAAACACCTCCAGACAAGTTCAAGCCAAAGATAATCACACGAAGCCATTTCAGAAGAAAATGCAAATTATTTCCAAGGTTACTAGAAAAATTAGCTCGATTGCTTTTAGACATAATGAAATTGTGCTTGTCTCCCATTTGTCGTTTGATGAAATGCGTTATGAAGGACGATCAGAAAAAGATAGGAGCCATCGAACATGATTGGGGCAAAGGTAAGAAAAGCTACACCTGGATATGATAAGTGGTATTTTCACATGTAAGCATATTTTCCTAAGTCAATTTAACTCTTTCCGGTGAGAAGCGAAGTATTTTTATTTCATGGTCATTGGGAACGGATATGTGCTATCGAAATAACAAAAATATTCCGTCAGACTTATCTCTCTTCTTTTTAATGCCTCATCGAAAGTTTATCTTCTTTCTTTTAGCAGAGAGGGCCCCCGTTCAATGCTCAGAGGATGATTTAGACGACCCACTATCAGCCGTCTGAGGAAACGTTTCTGTTAATGACATCTTTCCACTTATCCACAAGCACAGTACCGTGATAAAAGAGAAAAGCACTTCAGTTTCGTGGGGCGACTCAGAAGCCAGGCAGAGCGTGTGATTAATCTACAACATAAATCAGCAACACAAAGGAAGAATTTCTTAATAACTCATCTGACAAACACCTTGTTACTCAGTGACTGTGATTTTAATTAATTTTAATTTTAATAGTTGTAATATCTCTGCATTAGAGAAATGCTATTATTTTTTTCATTTGCCATAGTCCATATCAATATCATGGGGTACAAATAGTCTTAACATGAATGTAGTGACCACGCCCACTTCAACACCCCACTCAAATCGAGTGTAATTTTCGAATGTTTTACCATCGTGCGGATTCTCTAGGGAAAAAGCACTCAATGTACCTCTGAAATATTAAACTATAATATTGTGGCTTTCTATTTCGCTAATTTTCTAACTTGAAGGTAAAGTTTTTCCCTCGTCATTTTTACCTTTTCTCCGAGCGGTTGCGTGAAATTAACAAGGCGTTTTTTATCAAAACACAACCGAGCGAAGGGTCTCGGGCGATATCTCTTTTACGCAGGCGCAAATTAAAAATGTACCGCCAGAATCAGAAAGAGGAACAAATTTCCTTTGTTTTGATATGTAAAGTGTCGAACAAAAAGCAGATTTACCTTCGTCAAATGGCGTTTCAAAACAGCTGTATCTTCCTCCTTTTGATTTTTCCTGTTTTGTAAGCGTGAAAGCAGTAGGAGAGGGATCGGGAAACTCAGGAAGTGCTTCGGGAATTAATCTGCCATCGTTTACTTACAAGATAAACAAGTAAGATTTGTGAAGTTCGTTGAAGTATGAAGTCTAAATAATTGCCTTTTTAAAGCTTGTTTGCTGGATTTTTCGTAAACTTCCCTGATTAATTTTTCGTTTCAGCTTACTAGTCTATACTATTTAAAAGCAATGTCAAGACGAAGACGGAGAACCATGAGTCGGTCCTTTAAACAATCGTAAACAAAGTGTTTGAGCAATCAGGTATACGAGGTGTAATAATCAATAGCCGCATATCAGAAGTCTTCAGAAAGAAAGTATTCTGTCTTCAGAAAGCTGTCAAGAAAGCTAATAATCGTGGCGGAAGGCAATTAAACGGGCCCTCGGTATCAATTTAATATCATATCGATCTCAATATCATACAGTTTTGTATCTTTCTTCCGTGGATTCGCCTCTCTAACGAGGGTGTATGTTGAGAATTCATTGCAAAATCTCTTTGTTTTTAATTTCCCTCTTTGACCTGTCCGCCATTCTGAAAATTCGTAACGGAGAGCATGCGCATTACGTGGGGTTAGTGGTTGCGTACACCTGGAACCGAGAAAAACAAATGTTCGTCGCACTGGGGAAAGAGTTTGATATGAAGAAGCTGATTACGTACGAATAAAGCGTGCATTGAAATACCACTCACATTGTTATGCAAATACTTTTTGTTGATTGGTTGATATGTCGGACAGGTTTTATTTAAGATGACGATGTCATAGTTTCTAGAGGTCACACAACAGAGATAAACTAATCGTAGCCTTATGATAAAAGTCGGTTGGTTGTCCTATATTCTTTAAATACACTGAAGCAGTAAATAGAAAACTAGATAAACCTTTTCTGCGCTGAGTTCAGAGGGTCTTCTCGCTAGTATGCTCAGTTTTAAAAATGCAATAAGCTCAGTAAGATGTTACCATTGGACACGCATATCAAAGTTCGTCCTTTTATATTATTATCTGCCCCTCAGAACTTTTAATAAAATGCTTGTACATCCCTAATGATGCACAGAACGGCGTGTCTCC